GGGTGGGGAAGGTGATTTGGGAGCAAACAATGTATGTGGTGGGAGGAGCACTAGAGCTGATTGTAATTACACAACTCATTTTAAAAGGGATTTAACCATGGGGAAAAAAAAGAAAGAAAATGGTCTAAAATTGATTGTGGTAATGATTGTACAATTCTTCTTGATATGATTGAACTATTGAATTGTATGATATATGGATTATGTGCCAATAAAACAAAAAAAAAAGAAATAGCAAACACAATATTAAAATAACTTTAGATTCTTAAAATTGTTATAAGGATTAATTATACCTGTTAGCTTTTTCTTATAGTTAATTCTGTCAGTGATACCTCTGGGCAACTTTATTTTCATCAAATTTTAAAAATATATGCTTTATATAATTGGTTATATGAGTAATTATTCATGATAATAGCACGTTAATGGGTTATATGAGTAATTATTCATGATAATAGTTAGCACGTTAGAGAAGTACTCATATGTAATTATCCTAAAGTAAATATAAAATTTTGGGGGAAAAACCCAAACAAACCTATCCTAGGACTTTGCAAAGCAATGAATCACTTCTATATCGCCTTTCTAGCTATGGTATCTTAACTCCTACAATATGATTGGCTGGGGCTATTCAAATAAGGTTTATGAACTCTTGCAATGATTGGACAGTAACTATACCAATCAGGAACCAGTGGCCTACCAAGGGGCATGGTAGTTTTGTCATCTTGCCAGACTTAAAGAACCAATCAGATAGAGAGAGGTTGAGGAGGAACTCATTATGACCAGGAAGAACCAGGAATGGAGTGAGACCTTTAGTCTTAGGTCCTGGTACTAAGAACCTTCTAGACCCAGCAGGCAGAGAAAGCTCTAATACTTACAGAAAAAAGAGCAGAGATACAGCAGGAGCAGCAAGTGTCCAAGAAATAGGAGACCAGCCCAAGACAGATACAGTGGAATTTGCCAACCCATGGAGCAAAAAAGCTGAGCACCATTGACCAGGCAGCTCCCTGGCAGGGTGGCATGCCTCCAAACATTTATTAGTGGAGCTATAGAGTTGTAGTACTTGCCCTGAAGGTCAGAAACTGAGAGTCAGGGCTAGAGACAAGCACAGCCAAGAACAAGACCTGCCCCTGGACACAGCTGAGAGGTTGCAATTTCCTGGTAGCTGAACTGTCCTGTCTCCTGAGTTGGTCTTGTTACTTCCAAGTTGATCCTAATCTTGATTCTGAATTGTAACCTGATACTTCTGTGATACATCCCATAATTGCAACAAATAATCAAACCCAGCAGAGAAATAGAGAATGCCATGAGAGGGATAATTCATGTCAAAATTGTATTAATAAAAGGTTGGAGAGTGGAGTGGGCCCATGTCTGACCTCCACCTCATGGTAATTAGTTTTTGGCTGATGCCAATGCTGATTTTCTCTCCTCTCCCTGAAATTAAACAAAGGTCTAATGCCCCCACATTACAGTTTAGAGTATTTTCTCATATTTATTGGTGATGCTCTCTGTGCCAGATACTACTAAGCCTCAGGAGACTGGCAGACCTCAGTCTGGGAGTCCCTCGGCCAGCCAGGAGCGTAGCACATAGCCTTTAGCAATCCTACGAAGGAAGTCAGAGAGCTGGTGATGTAGTAGGTTACACCTTGGATTGCTGACCACCAGGTCCGCAGGTTGAAACCACCAGCCATTTCTTGGGAGAAAGTTGAGAATTTATACTCCCATAAAGATTTACTTTGAGGACCGAGGTACACCTGACCCAAGCAGACCATTTTCATTTGCTTCATATGAATGTGAAAGTCAGACATTAAATAAAGAAGACGGAGAAAGGAAGAATCTGCATGAGTTGTGTTATGGCGAAGAATACTGAAAGTATCACAGACTGCCAAAAGAACAAACAAATTTGTCTTGGAAGAAGTACAATCAGAATGTTCCTTAGAAGCAAGAATGGCGGGATTTTGTCTCACATGCTTCGAACATATTACCAGAAGAGACCAGTCCCTGAAGAAGGAGCTCCTGCTTGGTAAAGAGAAAGAGCAGCCAAAAAGAGGAACACAGTAGCTGCAACAATGAGTTCAAACACAATGGGCTCATTGTGAGAATGGTCAGGGCCAAGCAATGTTTTGTTTTGTTGTGCAAAGGGAGAGAGAGTTGAGCCCATTCGTTGGCACCCAATGAGAAGGAAGTCAAGCCAATTTGGAAAGATGCAAATATTATATCTTCTGTTGGCAAGAACTAACTCTGCAGGACACCTTTGACCAGCTCACTTTAGTTGTCCATAGCCGGTTTCTTCAAATTAGGATAATTTCTCAACTACTTGAAATAATAGCCCACGTCTGTTCTAACTCATATATGTTGGAGAGACAACGTAGACCAGAATTTGTCAGATTTTATTCGGTCCCCACACTGCCATGGTAGGATGCTCTGGCTTCCATGACAGCATGGCAGCAGTGAGGCAGCCAGACTTCTCAATCCGGAGACTCACTGCCTTTGCAGACACAGCCCTAATGGCATGTGTCTGTGCCCACCCCCCGCCCATCTCCTCTGCTGCCACCAGAGGAGACTGACCAGGACGTCATCATAATAAACCCCAAGACACAGAAGAGGAGTCCTGGTGGCATGATGACTACACATTGGGCTGCTAACCACGAGGTCATCAGCAGTGCGAAACCACCGGCCACTCGGAGGGAGAAAGATGGGGCTTTCTACTCCAGTAAGGGTACATTCTTGGAATCAACAGGGGCAATTCTGCACAGTCCTATGATAGCAAAGAATTTGAAGACACAGACTTGCCAGAAGGTGGGAGGAAAGGGAGAAGCTGAATATAACTTAAGAAAGTATTAAAAGAAATAAAATGATGAGAATTAACATGCTTCACTGGATATATTTGAATTACATTTTATTTACTTGCCTCATTGACATATTCTTGAACATGTACTACTGACACGTGAGCAAAGCAGTTTTCACTTTATTTCTCCTTTTAGCCAGCCTGAAGTTGAGTTTTTTAAAATTATTGTTCACAATTGGAGGATAAAACAGCCTGAAAATAACCTTTAGTTTAGCAAAATGGGTTTAAAAAATATATTTTAAAGAACAAAAACCATCATTGTGTGCTCATGTTCCCCATATAAACGCTGAAGATGAATGTGTGCATAAGTAAGTGTGGTGAAGAAGGCTGATGGTACCCAGCTATCAAAAGATATAGTATCGGGGGTCTTAATGGCTTGAAGATAAACAAGCAGCCATCTATCTCAGAAGTAACAAAGCCCATGTGTGATCACGAAGGGTCGAGGGGACCAGGTATCAAGCACCAAAGTTGGGGGGGGGATCATATCATGAATGAGGGAGCGTGCGATGGGGACCCAATGCTCATCTGTAGACAACTGGACATCCCTTGCAGAGGGGTAGTGGGGACGAGATTAGTCACTCAGGGTGCAGTGTAGCATTGATGAAACAAACTCACAACCTTCCTCAAGTTCTTAAATGCTTCCTCCCCACCCCCACTATCATGATCCCAATTCTACCTTGCAAGCCTGGTTAGACCAGAGGATGCAAAGTGGTGCAGATGGGAACTGGAAACACAGGGAATCCAGGACAGATGAACCCCTCTGGGCCAGTGGTGAGAGTAGCGATACGGGAAGGGAAGAGGGAAGTGGGGGTAGAAAGGGGGAACCGATTGCAAGAATCTACATATGACCTCCTCACTCCCTGGGGAATGGGCAACAGAAAAGTGGGTGAAGGGAGACGCCGGACAGTGTAAGATATGATAAAATAATAATTCATAAATTATCAAGGGTTCATGGGGGAGGGGGGAGCAGGGAGAGAGGGGGGGAAAATGAAAAACGAGAAGCTGACTCCAGGAGCCCAAGCGGAAAGTGAGAGTTTTGAGCATGATGAGGGCAATGAATGTATAAGTGTGCTTTACACAATTGATGTATGTGTGGATTATGTGTGGATTGTGATGAGTTGCATGAGCCCCAATAAAATGATTAAATATATATGATTAAAAATAATATATGATATATATATATTACTGAAAGATCATTTGTCCTTTTGTATATAAATCTAAATAGTTTCATTTAGAAAAACAGGCACAAAAATGTGCTTCATTTCACCCTTTTGTTTCCCTTAATGACACCTGCACAGGGGAGTGAATGTAGAAAACAAGTCATTGGCTGATTGTTTCTCCATGTTCAAGACTAGTTCTTCTAGTTCTAGGAAAACCCTGGGGTGTGGATTCCATACTGGGGTGGTGCTATGTTTACTGATCCAGGAGAATGGTTCCAACCACAATGACAATCCAAATTTGCCTCACAGCCTACAGGCTGGTATGCATTCTTTTTTTCTATGTAAGAAAAGGACCAGAAAGAATCAGACAATTTTGTACACTTCCCTTTGTGACTAAGCATCAGGGGAACTTGAATAAAAAAACTGACCAGCGGTTTAGTTTTATACATTTGCTGTACCAAATTAATGTAATTTTATTATCTTACAGTCTGCAGGTCAAGCCAAAGTCTGACACACATTTTACTAGGCAAAGTCAAAGTGACGGGGCTGCCTTCCTTCTGAAGGCTCAGGGGGACGATGGCATTTTCTTGCTCTTTCAGGTTGTTGACAGAATTCAGTTCCCGTGGTTGTAAAACAGATCTCCATTTCCTTCCTCAATCTTCAAAGCCTGTAGTGGTGGGTCCAGTCCCTCATTTCAAATCTCTCTTCCTCCTCCTTCTATGGCTACTCTGATCCATCTGCTTCCCCCGTCCACTTCTAAAGATTCATGTGACTAGATTGGGTTCGCCCCAATAATCCAAGACAGTCTCCCCATCTCAAAGTCGATTATCTAAATCACATCAGCCAAGACCCTCTGGCGACATACAATAGCACGTTCACAGATTTGAAATACTAGGGCAAAGACAGGTCGTTGTTCTGCCGTACTTTTGAGTCCCTGAAGAGAAAGGGCACAGTGAAATTGGTATACCAGCTTAGTCCGTCCACTTCCATTGAGGACCCACAGGACATCACCCAGGCTTAAGGCACAGGCAAATGAAGGCACTTCCCCTTTAAGGCCTGCCTCCATCGCGTGTGTGATTCTGGGGAAGTGCTCAACCTCCAAAAGCTCCTCTTTCTTCCGTTTCTAACATGAGAATATCGATGTCATTGAGCTGATGGAATAAAGGACATGTTCCGTGTGAAATACTTTAGGGTGGAAATTGTTACCCATAGGAAAGATGCATAAAGCGAATGAAGAAGGCATCTACAAGGGTTGAAACCTAAAATTCCACCCTCTTGGCTCATTCCTTGAATTCAAGGATTTAACTGGCATCCGGAAAAATAAAATTGGGAGAAATAACAGCACATCTGCATCAGCAATTTGTGGTGTAGGAGAGCACTTGTTTTAGGCAATTTGCAATTAGGCAAGGATTTGAGAGCATATTTTAATAGGGTGTGGGGCACCAAGTGCTTGAGGACTTAGGGAGTAGCTTTTCCCAGGGAAAAAGGTGTGACACCGTTGTATCTAGGACCCTGTACTAATCTATGCCCAACAGAGTGGGGGGGGGGGGGGGCTCCCGTTCTGCATAAATACGGGTGAGCAACTAACCGACCAGCACGTGTCAGGTCAAAATTAAGCTGCTCTCTGACGCACAGCAAACAGATCATTGCAGCTCTTCAGCACTTAGCACCCTCTCAATTCTTCTTCTCTCTCCTTGTTCTCAGGCTTTCAGCCTTCTTTGGTTGTGTTTTGGCCCATGACCCTCCAGCTCTTGGACATCAATCATGCCATGACCACACTGGTTGACCAAAGGATGTCCCCGCCCCTCCCCCGCCCCCCCCCCTTCTTTAAATATAAAAATAACTTTTGCTTTCTTATGAGCTGTGCAGTGAGGAGAGAATGATGTGGGCACATAACCTTTTACATATTGCCCAGAATAGCCTTTCTAAATGGGATGCGGATATAGATTTAAAACAAGCTAGTATAGGGGATTTGGAATACATTTGGTGGGGTGGAGCACAGTGGGATTTGTAATAAGTGTTTCTTTATTTTCTCTCTCTCTCTTTTGCACCTCAATAGCTTCTCAATAGCTGCTAAAGAGTTTCTCAATAGCTCTTTAGCATTTATTTGTTAGTCTAAAAAAATCATGATGTACATAGTCTCCAAGCAGCATCAACTGCTCATTTTGTTCCCAGCTTTGTTAATTTTTCCCAGCTTTATAAAACTCACTGAAAGATACAAGTGAGTCTCTAATTTTATATTTTTTAATGGTTTACTTTTATGCAAACAGCTTGAACTTGGAAGAATCACTAGTTGAACCATAGCTTCTAATTTTGTGCAGTAGTAACTGAAGATGTGTTTAACATAATAAACCAAGCCAACATCACATGTTCGTTTAGAATCCTACACAGTAGCATATGAAATAGATAAAAGGAGGTGTGTCTGTTTCTGGCTGGACTCTGAGAATGCAATGATTTACGATTCAGTCTTCAACATGTAGGGACCCTTATATACAGGTTGCTTGAGGTCAAAATCAGAACTTTTATTTAGTATTAAAAAATGTCATACTTAAGGCTGGATGATAATTAAACCACAAAATGAGACGACTTGAGTGAAAGATTGAAGGAGGACAGGCAATTATCTTGATAAATTAAAACATAAAAACAATACTTGGCTCCAGATTTCAGAGTAATCTTTTAAAAATGTTTTTATAGTTCAATTTTTGTTCACTTTTCCAATTTTTATTAATTCCAAGGAGAACAAAGAAAAAATCACATTGGACTGAAAATCTGCATCAGTTTCTGTAGTGTTTTTTCTTTTCATTTGTGCTAGATTGCATGTACGTTGACAAAGGAAAGGAAGGAGTTCAGCAGTGAAGATGAAGTGATGAATGAATTGACGTAGACAGCATTTGGCTATGACCTTCCAACAGAGGGCACTTGGACATGGGTAGAAGTTTCAGGGTGACTAAGTTTGAACCCAAGGAATAGGCAGTATTCTTTTCTCTGTGGGTATAAAATAGATTCCAGAATACTTCCCTCCACTCCTTGAAGCTCCTCCACATTCTGGCTTAAATTTAACTTTAAAGGTTTTAAATTCACTTAAAGAAGGCTAACAAATTACTAGCATTTTTTAAAATGCATTCATTTAACAATTATTATACCTACTATGTGCTGGGTCCTGATCATACACAGGGAACCAAGACAGATAGAGTTTAAGCTTGATGGCCCTCACAGTAGATAGTAATTGTGGCAACATTTGATGTTTATCAGTGAGGGTTTTTTTAAATCATTTTATTAGGGGCGCATACAACTCTAATCACAATCCATACACACATCAATTGTGTAAAACACATTTGTACATTCATTGCCCTCATCATTCTCAAAATATTTACTCTCCACTTAAGCCCTTGGCATCAGGTCCTCATTTCCCCTCTCCCTCCCCGCCGCCCCACCCCATGAACTCTTGATAATTTATATATTTTGTCATATCTTACACTCTCCGACGTCTCCCTTCACCCACTTTTCTGTGGTCTGTCCCCAGGGAGGAGGTTATATGCAGATCCTTGTAATTGGATCCCCCTTTGCACCCCACTCTCCCTCCACTATCAGTGAGGGTTTTATAGAAACTCTGTCATCGAGTGCTGCTATGACAGATATACCACAAACAGATGACTTTAAGGAATAGAACTGTATTTTCTCACCATTGAGGAGGCCTGCTGTTGTTAAGTGCCATGGAGTTGGTTCCAAGTCATAAGGACCCTCTGTGCAACAGAACAAAACACCACTCTGTCCTAAGCCATCCTCACAATGGTTGCTGTGTTTGAACTCATTGTTGCAGTCACTGTATCACTCTGTCTTATGGAGGACCTTCCTCTTGGTCACTGCCTCTCCACTTAACCACGCATGATGTCCTACATCAGTGCCTGGTCTCTTCTGATAATACATCTGAAATATGTGACATGAAGTCTTGCCACCCTTGCTTCTAATGAACATTCTGGCTATACTTCTTCCAAGATATGTTTGTTTGTTCCCTTGGCAGTCTATTGTACTTTCAATATGCTTCACCAGCACCACAGTTCAAATGCATCTTTTTTATTTTCACAATCTTCCTTATTCAGTGTCCAACTTGCCCATGCATGAGGCATACCTTAATCCTCGAAGTAAGATCCTTGCTTTTCAGCACTTTAAAGAGGTCTTGTGCAGTAGATTTTACTGCATATCTGATCCAGCATATATTAAACTGACAGAACTAAAGAAAAATTCAAGGCTCAAAGTGTAATATTGAAAAATTATATGGACAAAATTTTGAATGATGCAGGAAACATCAAAATAAAAGGGAAGGAATACAAAGAATTACTTTACAAAAAAAAAACAAAAACAGTCAACATTCAACCATTTCAAGAAGTAGCATGTGAGCTTGAATCAATAGCAGTGAAGGAAGAAGTCCAAGCTACACTGAAAGAATTAGCCAAAAATAAGACTCCAGGAATTGTTGGACTACCAATTGAAATGTCTCATCAAGTTAAAGAAGCACTAGAAACACTCATTTGTCTATGCCAGGAATTTGGAAGACAGTTGCTTGGCCAGTTGCTGACTGGAAGAGATCCATATCTGTACCCTTTCCAAAGAAAGTAGACACAATAGAATGCTCAAATTATAAAACATTATCACTAATGTCATGTGCAAGTTAAGTTTTGCTAAAGATCATCTAACAACTGTCGTAGCAGTACATTGACAGGAAGTTGCCAGAGGTTCAGGCTGGATTCAGAAGAGGACTTGGAACACGGATTGTCATTGCCAACACCAGGTGGATCTTACCTGAAAGCAAAGACCAGAAAGATGTGTGGAAGGTAGACCTCCACAGATTCATGGCACCAGCTCCAAGGGACGGCTTTCTACCTGTTGGCTCACGATTTCGGGGGAAGGTCCTTGCCTCCTTTCTATATCTGCAGCATTACTGGAGATTTCTATTTGTCTTGGTATCCTATCAACCTTCCCCTGGTTCTAAGAGTTTTTCCATGCAGAAACCCCAAGTTCAAATATTTCTCTCCACTCTAGGCTTTTCTGTCTGGTTACCTAGTAGGTCCCTCTGATCTCTGATTTCTTTTCTCTCCTTTAATCTCTTGTAAATGATAAGGTGTTATAGTCCACACTCCAGGGACTCTCCCCTTGGCTTTGATCAAAGCTGTGATGGTATTGAGAGTATTACATTCTCCCCTTAATTCTCTTATTGGTTTATTATATTAGATCACATTATGGGAGATCATCATGTAACTGCCAGACCACTGCCAGCCAAGCCAATGTGGCACAAAAATTTTTGAAGGGACACAATTCAATCCATGACAGAATTTTTTTTTTAGTATCTATTTTATTTATTTATTTATTTTTAAATCGTTTTATTGGGGGCTCATACAACTCTTATCACAATCTACACATACATTAATTCTATAAAGCACATTTGTACATTCGTTACCCTCATCATTCTCAAAACATTTGCTCTCCACTGAAGCCCCTGGCATCAGCTCCTGATTTTCCCCTCCCTCATGAATCCTTGATAATTTATAAATTATTATTTTGTCATCTTACACTGTCTGATGTCTCCCTTCCCCCAATTTCCTGTTGTCCATACCCCAGGGAGGAGGTTATATGTAGATCCTTGTAATCAGTTCCCCCTTTTTTCCCCACCTACCCTCCACCCTCCAGGTATCGCCACTCTCACCACTAGTCCTGAAGGGATCATCTGCCCTGGATTCCCTGTGTTTCCAGTTCCTATCTGTACCAGTGTACATCCTCTGGTCTAGCCAGATTTGTAAGGTAGAATTGGGATCATGATAGTGGGCAGGGGAGGAAGCATTTCGGAACTAAAGGAAAGTTGTATGTCTCATCGTTGCTACACTGCACCCTGACTGGCTCGTCTCCTCCCCATGACCCTTCCTTAAGGGGATGTCCAGTGGCCTACACATGGGGTTTGGGTCCCCACTCCGCACTCTTCCTCATTCACAATGATACCATGACAGAATCTTAACTCAGTATTTATACTTTTCTCATCACTAAACAGTTATCGGTAGTGGCAATCAAGAAGTA